GGTTCAGACTTCGAGTTTGCTTTTTCCCGGGCCGGGAAAAAGCAAAACGGTTCAGACTTCCAATTTGCTTTTTCCCGGGCCGGGAAAAAGCAAAATGGCCAGACTTCCAATTTGCTTTTTCCCGGGCCGGGAAAAAGCAAAATGGTTCAGACTTCCAATTTGCTTTTTCCCGGCTCGGGAAAAAGAAAAATGAAACTCCGTCCAATTTGGAAAGCAATCTGTGGGGGGAGATTGCCTTCTCCGGCCTGGAAACAAGCAGCGGTGAAATTCGAACACGCAACCTTCTGCTTATGAGCCTAGCACCTTATCCATTAGGCCACAGCTCTTTGCAAAACTTCCTTTTTTCAGGCTGTCCAAAAGCAAACTGGATGTCCAATTTGCCTTTTCCCGTTGCTTTTTCCCGCCCCGGGAAAAAGCAAAATGGTCTAGACTTTCAATTAGCTTTTTCCCAGGCCAGGAAAAAGCAAAATGGTCAAGACTTCCAACCAAGCCATTTTCATTTTGGTGTGTTTTTGGTTGGGCGCAACCCTCCATGAACAAGAGACGGCTCAGTCAGGCCAGTTTGCTCAGACTTCCAATTTGCTTTTTCCCGGGCCGGGAAAAAGCAAAATGGTTCGGACTTCCAATTTGTTTTTCCCAGGCCTGGAAAAAGCAAAAGGCTCAGACTTCCAATTTGCTTTTTCCCGGGCCGGGAAAAAGCAATCGGAAGTCTGAAGAGCAATTGTTCTTGCAGCGTGGCCAGGTCACCAACATGACTTGCGCAGACCTTTCGCAGGACCTTCGCGAACCTTTCGCGACTGCAGTGAGAGCACAATCGAAATCAGCCTTTGAAATTCGATTACTAACAAGGAAGAGGTGGGTTTTTGAACGACGCTCATATATAATATATGTTTATATTACGTATTCTATATAATCATGTTTAGTTTATATAGTTCTTCATACTATATACAAAGGGGATCTTCACTGGGATCTTCATCTTTCCCTATCAATCATTCAATGGTTCTCTCTGTGTTGTGGTGGTCCCCTGCGGTCCCAGGGCGATTGCCTAGGTCGGTATCACGTGAGTGGGGCTTCACTTGAGCACTTGAGCCTTGGTCTTTGATGCCACATCAACAGCCAAATACCTACTCACTCTTCAGGAAGTGCTGGGAAAACCTCAGTCCACCCCCCTCCCTTCAACCCATCCATCCCCCCAAAACCAGTCCAGGTCTCGACTTAGGAACGCCCATCCCCCACGGGGGCGACTCCGCGCCGCGCGCCGCGCAGTCGCATGCCTCCCAAGCGGCCACTTCCGCAACACGCTGTCGCGCCCACGGAAGCGCAGCCGCTCGTTGCCGCACTGCAGGGTGAGTTCGCCCTTCTCGGCGTCGTAGTGAAACTCGTTGGCATCGAAGAGGTCCCAGACCTTCCGGACCTTTGGCGAGGTCGGGGGCCAACCCGGTGAAGGAGAAATGGAGCATCCCGAATGAAGACATCGTGAGACCCAATGAATTCCAATGAGATCGGCTTTGAAAGACTTTCAAACGGTGATATAGTTACAGTATCAGGACTTTTCGAAGTGATGCACAGTCCTAGTGTTTGCAAGCCATATATAGGTCTATGACCCCATGGAATACATCAATGGCGTCGGAAGCATGTTCGGCAAGCGCATGTGGCTGCCTCTTCTACTCAAATGAGGAGGATTCCATCGCGAGTGGAGCTTCGTGGTGCCCACTGGCCCCCCTCCAGGGTCTATTCATAGCTCCATCCAGGGCTATAATGCGGGTAGCTCGACCCTTCGTATTTTAGGCCATGCCCTCTCCCAGGTCGGGTAGCTTGAAGGTTAGCAACTGGAGGACTCCGTTTTGGCCACCACCAGCCTATGTCCAACCACTATGACATGACCGGATGACTCTGCAGGTTCCTCCCCCAAACGAACATCCCCGAAACACGGTGCCCCGAAACGTGGCAGTTCGGATGGTCGGACGGTCGTCCTCGTAGTTTGGGAACATGCCAGGTAGTTTCAGGTCGTGAGGAACCACCAAGTACTTCTACCTGAAAAAGATCAGTCTGTATAAGTGTGTATACTTATAACTATATACAGTGGTTTCACAGTAGACAGCGCAGACCTCAAGATGTCCTGAAAAGATGGGGGTCCATATAAACCACCGAGATTGGGTAATTGTGCCATGTACTCTGAAACCACTATAACATTATGACATTATATAAGTATACAACGATTGCCATCCAGACCAGCCCCACGACCTCCTTCTCCTTTTTTGTGCATGCTGAGTGGCCTCCTGGCCATCCCTCTCTCCATTCTGCTCTCCGTACTGCTCAAGCTGACCGTTCTGCAAACAGAACCAGCCAGCCGCCCATTTCCCTGAAGGGCCCACCACTTGGGCAAGGTGGATTCTGGGTGGTGTGGGCTGGGGGTTGCTACATTTTGCGATGGTCAAACTGGAAGACTTAGCGGAAGTGCACATGTTGATCATTGTCCTACTTCCTTTCCTGGATTTCTAGGTGCATTCGAGGGATTTGCTTGGCAGCGTGCTTTTTGGAGGGTGCGGGGTTGAAAAAGAAAAGAACACACACACACCTTCGACCAGCCTATGACTCCTTTGCCAAAGCGAAACTCCAGCACATCTTCCAGGGCCATGGCGGTCAGTCTTGAGCCCACGACAGGCTGAAAACCCCATGATGCATACAGGCTCGCTCTGTGGGACGAATCAACAAGTGACCCAGTGGCGGTGACTGGTGATGAAAGAGGGGGGGGGCCATGAGTGGTCGAATCACAGGGATGTTGGACTGTGGTGGACAAGCTACTGATTCGTCTCTTGATGAATTCACACACACATCACACACCCCATTTTGGATTCGGACCCCCCCCCTCTTCCTCGACCAACTACCGCCGTAGACGCCGTAGGCCCCATCCGATGTCTCGATGCCCGGGGGGGTTGGTTCGGCATCGGTGGACTGAAGGCACCCGAGACAAACCAGCAACGCGAAGCCTCAGTCAAGTCGTACGGATTAGAACGGTCCTACAGCTCATGAGATGGTCCTACAACTTCAAAATGCTTCAAATCATGTCAATGATATGTCCTCGGATTCCACCACCAGAAGGATATCCCTCCACCGTGCTTTGGGAGTACCAATGTTCAAAAAAAAGGGGATGGGATGGCCGCTTCTGGCCGGAACTATTGGGACCATGGCAGCAGATGCCGTCGCCCAAAAGCGCTATGATCCTTGATACTTGGTACAGTCTCCACATCTGCGTGAGATGCATCGCTCAAATCGACACACATCCCACACCGAAAACATCCGAAAACCGACGGCCAAAGACCCTGCTCCAAGACATGGAACGCGTCGGTGGCTCAAACAAACAGATCACCTGGCTTGATGGTGCTTCCTCATAGAAAGCAATGTGATGAAGCCTGATTGTTTGAGTTTCGCCGTGCGACAGCGGACGGAAACCACTTCAACTTTTAGTGCCCAATGTTCTTGTCACGGCGCTGAGCAGTAACCTGTACATTGGCAGTCAGTGGCTTGCAGTGCAGTGCGTGATTCATCCAGTTGCTTCATATATTATAAATAGTATAAGTATATCAGTCAGAATGGCTTTGAGAGGTACGATCTGGAAAGTCTAGTTCAGACTTTGACATGCATCTCAACAAGTACAACTCTGACATGACTTAACACCTGGAGACCAACTCGTGTCATCTTGCCGCCTGAAATGACTGAGTCAGGCTTCTCTAAGGAGACTTCAGTCGCACATCGTCCAAGCTGACAGGGCTTCAGCTTCGGGCTGAACACCTCTGACAAAGGGGTGGTCACCACTTAGGCAGGCGAAACATTCAGGTACATGGTCAGGATAGTCTAAAGAACCTATTCGCCATCGCGAGCCTCATTTGCACGCTTGGCGAACTTGGAAAAGGATGTCACACCCTTAGAAAACCTTATCTTGTAGATGCGAGATGATGCCGGTGTGCCAAGACCGCCTGAATGGATGGGTTCTAGACCCCATTAGGAAGGTTTGTGGTTCCCCGTGCTGCCTGCTGAGCAAGCAACTCACTCCTGAATGCATTGAGTACAGCCACAGCACTGCGATGCATTGCCAGCACATACGTACATCGCACGCTGGTGCGAAGGCACCAACAGAACACCCTCACAAACACACACACACACACCAAAAATTTAAAAACGAAAACACCCAAAAAGCACCCATGCTATCCCATGCTGACCAATTCCAGCCACAAGTCTCGTCACTCACCCCAACTTGGCCCAAAGATCGCAACCATTCATTGACTGGTCGGTTTTCGCAGGGATGGATCCAAACAACCTTGCAGTGCAAATCATGTAGGCCCTGGATTAAACCATAAGCCACCCATGTGAAGAGGTTTTGGACTCTAAAGGGGCAGGTTGGATTTCAAGAGTCCACATGACCACAGTCGCTTCAGCACCACTGGCCCACTGGCCATCACAGTCACACCGACCCGGTCTGTGGTCCTCCGGATGGGTCACTGCGGGTCTCAGTGGTCTCCGTCCTCGCACCCTTGCGGGCGATCCATTTGAAGGTCTCCGGGTAGGTCTCCTGAGGTCGCAAATCGCTGCCCTGAGTGCCATCAACAGCGCGTTCCAGGCCGAAAACCGAACAAGCACCACCGCCCACGTCTATTCAATCGCGACGACGTGCGCCGCGCGCCGCGAGAGGAACATGGGAACTTAAATGAACTTTCGGGGCCTGATTCGCCGTGTAAAGGGCAGGGTGCCACATGTGCTGTCATGCGTGAATCCTTACGACTCCAAGTGCAGCCCCCCAAGCAGGCCCGTAAACTTACAACGGCAAAAAACTTCTTTTTGCACCTAAACCTGGCTGCAAACCTAGCTGTCTCTCACCTTCAGCAAAAAATCATCCTCGTCTCATCTTCTTGTGACCAAGACCTATACACTCTGTTCACTCAAATCATCTCGCTAGTTCTGCTCTTTTGATTCGCAGGTCGCTTCGCAGTTCTCGGAGCTGTTCACTCTTCCTCGGTCGGCGAGTGTTCGGGGTGAGTCTGGACGGAGACTGAGTCGGATCGGGATCGAAGGGTTCGTTCATGTCATCACGCAGTTGCCCTGCCAAACGTGGGATGATGATTGGGTGTCAAGTGTCGGTTAAGTATGTCAAGTGTAGGGTTGACTCCAAGTAGGCTACCGGTGAAATACAATCAGCGACTAGAAGAAACTCAAGAATATTTGCTAGAGGACCTCTGAAATTCGCAGGGCGACAGTCTGAGCAGCAGTTACAACCCACCACTGCGTTTCACGCGGTGGCCACCCTGGCACTTTTCGTCGGCCCATAATTGAAGCCCGACCGGCTGATGAAACAGCCTTTAAACACTCACCAAAAGAACCGCCAGGTGATAGGTTCCACCAAAACTACCCTCCACAGAACAGCCAGAGTCCAGAGTTGCTTTGGATCACTGTACATGTACTGCCCATGCCTGCCCGTTTCTGGCGTTTAGGGAGAGTAATCCGCCCTGTCGAACCTTCCTGAAACTGAGGCGCCTGAGATCTGAGCTCCCACGAGAGGGCGTCGCACAGTGCCTGGCAGCCCTCGTCGCAGCCTCCTGCAAGTCACACTCACTCATCACGGGTACTGGAAATAAACAAACATAATAAAGAACACTTTCCATGTCATGATTTCCATACCAAGGGCCACATGTCGGGGTGGCGTTTAGTTCTCAGTGAGTGGACGTTCTGGGCACCCACTTGGGCACCCTTAACCTCCATGGATAGCACCCCATTGAAACTCCTGGTATATTTCCTGAGTCTAGTTCTAGATTCTAGATATTGCAATCGAAAGATCAACGAGCAAAACCTGTATGGTGAGGAATCAAAAGGTTCAGTTTAAACCTATAGTACCGGACAGTTTCTCACACCACTCACAGGGCAAGTTTACCTGACATGATGCATGATGATATGATTTATGTGGGGGAGCCGGGCTTTGTAAACTTTAAGATTCCAATACTAGTCATGCGTTAAATCCGCGCATATCTGTGACGTGAGTGGCAAGTGGCCTCCTCATGGACCACACAACAACATGCATCTGAAGAACATGATAGGATATATGCCCCAATGCCCTGAGTGCAGCCCAGGGCACCTTCGAACCATACGTCGCGCCAGTTCGAGGTGTTTGACAGCCTCAGGAAAAGAGAGTTGCTGGCCCGAGGCTCACCAATGAATTGAACCACTTGGGGCCTTTGAAAGCTATAATAATAACCGTCAAACACACAACTGCACCATCAAAACCACCGCATCTACAGGTCTCAGGGGCCTTCGACAAAGCCCCAAAGCTTCACGAAGCGCTTCGACATGCTTCGATCTCAATGAACGACGTACGTAAGTGCAATGCGATCCAAACGACCCCAACCGACCCTGCTGTGGTTGGGTGGATAAGAGAACAAATTGGGAACCAGGTCCAGCCCTCACACCTCCCAACTAAAAGGATCTCAGAATCCACCACTGACAATCTCGCAACAAGCATAGATTGTAAAGTTATATTAATTACAGTACAGCAGTATTAATTAGCCATCCTAGAGTATAGATGGTAGAATATGGAAAATCCAAAAGCCCATGGCCCTGTTCCTTGGATTGGTTCATATTCTATCTACATGCACAAGGCGTCGAGCCCAAGGCACAGGAAGCGGAAGCCGAAATGCAGCCGGTCGCATGTGCCCGAGGGCTCCCTGAGGCGCCGATTTCCGCAGCATGTCGGTCGGAGGTCTATAATGTCGAACCACTTCCCGGACCCATTCCAAAAAATGTGATGACAGATTTGAAAACAGCCTTGAATTTTGAATCCGGTTTAGCTGCTATTGCGGGGGTTTGCCCAGCTTGCCAGCGGCCTGTTGATGAGGAGCCTTGGGGCGCTTGGAGAGACTTTGCCCACCAAGCTGGCGAAGGGCTCCACCACCAGTGATGTACCAATCACGATCAGCATGTCCTTAGGACATCCGAGGGGGACCCTCTATTTTAAAAACAAAAAACGCACCCGAGTTTGTTTATAGGGAGGGGGGCCCGGGCCCGTGTTTATATATTTAATATATTTATATTATTGTTTTTGTTGGTGGAAGGGATTATTAGTAGGACTCTTCAATGCTTTTTAACTGACATCGCCACCTTTTTGATGGACCCTGCCCTCCTACTCGCCAGTTTCGAACACTCCACGGAGTCCACGGTTCCCCTCCAATCTCCCGCATGGACCGAACTGGCGGGGTCCATGTTCCGAACGCGCTGGTGAACTCACACTCACAGGACACGTTTCGTTCCCGTTTGCCCACATCTGACAAGATATTGATTTCCAATTGACACAAAGTTCACCTTCCAAAACTCGGGCCCTTGGCTTTGTAAACAAAACACAACGTCTCCCCCAAACTCGCCTGGAAGCCTCGCAAAACCGGCATGCCGAGAACGGCGAACATGACGGCAAGCTGCACACGTTTCGAAATCCTCGTCCTCGCGAAACGCAGATTCACTCCCAGGCTCCCCAAGGTTTTCCCAAGCCGAATGGGTGTGGTCGAGTCGAACACAAGCACACTGCGGCATGCTTTTTTTTTATTTTGAATAAAGCCATATTATAATTATATAGATTGACCCTTAAGCCTTGAGAGATCTTATAGTTATCAATATTCATCAAACACGTTATGCCATTCTGTGGTTTTGAGTGCAGCTGTAGTAGGATCATGAAGTTGAGTCTCAACAAGCTGTCGACTGTCAAAATGCCTGCTGATCCGGAAACGCCCGTTGGTCATCTACTTTTTAGTTGTTCATAGTTTTTCAGATTTACGCAGTCTAAAGTGTTTCATCCTACTACCATCTCCAATCTCTTCATCTGGCGCGTTCGCCGGCAACCGAGAAAAAAAACAGTCACTCGTTCGGGCGAACGAGTTTGTTCCGCCGCCCTCGTCCTGCAGGCTCCAGAAGCGGTCCGGCAGGTCTTCCCCAAAGAGCACCACGCGAGGCTTCCTGACATAGCCGTGGGCCGTGGGCCGTCCAAGCTGTGTGTGGTGAGCGTTGTTTTCCTGGACGGGCGAATCACGTGTCTACGTGGCGAAAGAGTGGCCTTCCATGTCTGTCATAGCTGCCATCCAGCCACTCATCCAGAGGTCAGCGACGAAGGAAGGTGGCTTGGACACTGGGGTGCTGCTCAGGACCCCAAAGTCCCAAAACGTGTGAGGACGTCGTATGAGGCTTTTTGTTGGACGCCTACCCGATCACCAAACCCTGATGACTAAGAACAACTGCAATCGTAAATAACTACTTTTGTGCCTGAACAAAGCCTGGCCGATGCCTGTTTCTGCAGTTCGGGTTTGCCTTACAATGACGAAGCTCAAACCGTAGGTGTTGCCAGTGCTGCTGGCGAAGGGTAGGAGGCATAGCCACACTCCTCTCTTGGAATGGGCAAATGGTTTTCCGAATCCTGTGACTTGACTGAGGGTGCACAAACTAAGAAGTTGCATCACCAAACGCTCCTCAAACATGCAACACATATAAAAACCATTCCTTAATAGCTTCGGTCTGACCTCGTTTTGGGGCTGTTGAAATTCATTGGGATCCAAATGGACGTCACGCTGTGCTTGAACGGCGGCTGTTGGGCCCTGGGGCCATTGGCGTGACCCGAGACAAACCAGTTCTGAAGGGAAGTTCATGATTGGATTTGGACTTGGCAGCGAATCAAGAAGTATCAAGAACTCATTGCCGCCAGGATGCAGCAAATCACACCAAACGGCTGTGTATATGCAGGTCAAACAGCAAATTAAACCTCATGAAGTCCAAAGTGGGTCATTGTGATTCGACTTCGGGTGAACAGCCCAGCCAATCACAAGACATGGTGATGCTGGGAGGAGGAGGGTTAAATGGGGGAACCTCTTTCATGGCTTAATGGATGTTGCGTCTCAATCGATCTCCGTTTCCTCTGTACCAAGGTCAAACGACTGGTCAACAAGGCGGCCTGAACCCGTTCATCACCCCTGGTCCGTTCAGTCCCTGGCTGCCAAGCGTCACCCATCCGCCATGGATCTCTGCAAGCTTGCGGCACGCGTCGTCGCCCTTGAACACGGCGTGCCTGTCGTCCAGCGGCGGTGCAGTGGGACCGATGAGGTGGCAATGGTGGCAAGGAGGACGAAACAAACAAAGGACGAAACAGCATCCAAACGCTCTTACCCACATCAAACATTCCACCCTCTCCGTCCAGCTCAGGTCTGAGTCAGCTCATTGGAGCTCCACTCCGACTCCGGAGGGTCTGCGCGACGCTGCCAGCCCGAACCGCGCCAGCTCGCCTGAATTCTTCGATGTCCACGACTCTTTGGGTGCCCAGGACGTGAGCTTCGTCCATGTTGCCATGCGCGGCCACGATCTTCCTGAGAACGAAGGACGATCTTCGAAGGGAAGCTCACGTCATGGCCAGCAGCCATTGTTATAACGTACCGGCTCATTGTGCTGAACAACGTTGCAATTAACAATAAACCAACAACAATTGCCATGGACCCGCACAATCACGAACCAAGCAATACCATATATACTTGACTTCTTTTCAATCTCTGTATGTTCGAAGCAAGACAGATCCATGAAACAAATTATTGGAGGCCGAGGAACTCTGGGCTCACGCCAGCTTGTCGCTCTAAGGAATCCTCAGGAAGCGCAGCCAGTTGCACCGGCAAGTCATTCGTTGCATAGGGATAGCCTACACGCCGGCGCTAGTCCCTTGTTTTTGTCCCAACACTTGCGAATGATGCAGATGGAACATGGTCAACCGACTTGGTTCCATCCAACCACCTTCTCACCTGCTGCCGTGTTGCGATGTTCCTTGGTGCAGCAAACGGACATTTGAGGTCAATTTGAGGTCTTATGTGTCTCAACTATGTATACCAAAACATCACCTAAGCATCCAAAACCAAGTTCATCCGAAACCATTGAGGTGCCTCAATTTAAGTATCTCTTCATGATTCTACCATATTCTACCCTCTACATCATCTGCAAAATCCCATGTGTCCCATGTTCTCAACATCGTCGCCGCGCGATCGCTGCCCGGTCGCTGCGTGTAGCACCTGCGCAGCACGCCCTGAGCATCGACTTGGCACAGGGCCACTGAACCAAGCGTCAATGTAGACTCATTTATAACCCCACCATATGAAGATTATGAAGACTCATTTGGGGTCAATGTAGACTCTTTGAGACTCTAACCCCAATGGTCAATGTGGACTTATTCGTCGTTGAAATCCAAATGGGTGGGGCTTGGAGTCGACTCAGAGTGCTGAATCCATGTGTGGATCTGACCAAACGCGGAGATGCCACCTGGCTGCCACCCACATCCCCTGTACAGTATGGATCCGCAACCTCAGAAGGATGTGCTTGTAATACGTTGCTTATTGGCGCCAAGTGGTGAAAACACCAACGAGAAGGTATCCCCAACGGGAACCAGAACACAAGGGCCGGTGGATTTGGGGGAACACTTACGAGGACGTGCCCGCTGTGTCCAAAGGGTTTGCTCCGGGTCCGATGAAGTTTTTGTTCTGGTGCGAACTGAAATCAACACCTGCACCACCTGGGTTCCTTCTCTGCCAGCTGATTGATATTTTTCACACTTGAAGTTACGAGACCCGGAAGGAGACGTTCCGCGCGGTTCATGCATGTTCATGCGATTTGGTGTGATTTTAGATCACCATGAATCGTGCCGGAACGTAGCCAGTAAATGCACATGTTGACCATGTCCGTCAATTGCAGCCCTCCCTTTGCCTTACTTCCATCAACCTAACAACCAGAATGACAGAAGTCACCTGGCTCTGTGACCTTCTATTCATGAATCACCCGCACAGCTCAGAGCGTCTGATCAGGCCTTCTCTTCTAACCTCAGAGCTGCCGTGAATGATAGAGAATTACAAACAGAGATATGACATCAGGCATGTCCGTTCTCCATCTCCTAGTGGATGATGATCATGGAAAACTCATTGATCCTCACCAGACTCCGCTTTTCAGGAGAAAACCAACAGTCCAACAGCGTGGCCTAGTGGTACCCAACAGTTCCAACATCACATGGCCAGCCATAGATCCCAAAAAATGCTGGTGCGGTGTGTGATGGTGTGTGTCTTCCCTGTCGTGCCCACCTGCAGGGTTTCGATCCTCTTCGGGTTGGAGGATGAGGTTTCGGGCCGAGGTTCGGATGGGCGCCCCGGGCAGCATGGTTCGGTCGTCGGACGTCGGTCGTCAGCTCCGGTCATCACAACGCATCGCTCGTTTCCTGTAGCCAGGAGAATATAGGAGTCAACACTGGATATGGGAGGCCAAATCCACCAGCCGAGGATCGAATGCTCTCAAAGTTGTGTTGGCATCAATTCTCACTTCAGTCTAGCTCTAGCCACAGCTATGTTGTCCCAGATGTCCCCCCTTAATCCCCCTTCTACAAGACCTCCTGAGGACCTCCTGCTCACTATTCTCAATGATACCAACAAACATCAAAAGCATGGCAACCAGCATGCTGTGCCCCCAAGCAAAGTTCATCACCACACCAGCCCCAAAGCACCCCCCACAGCTGCTTGCTCTGCTGAAGTGCAAGCGGATGAAGTGATGCGCCAAGGTAGGTTGGTACGTCCCAGGCCAAAGCTCTTTGCAAAGCTCGTAGAAGGGACCTAACAGGTTTTTAAGCAAAACAGTGTTGGCAATTTTTTACCAAAAAGGTCGTCACATTGGCGCTTGACTCATCGTCACCGCAACGAATCTCGAACAAGGCGCGCCGGGGCGGCCTGGCTCTTGCTTGAAGAACTCGAGGTCGAAAATGTCTTCCGGCTGAGAGAGGTTAAACCGCTGCAGGTTGTCCTCAAGTAGACTCATAATGACTCATACCAAAGGCATCTCCATGTCGATTCCATGATTCCAGGTAGGGGGCTACCCTCATTGTATGGCTTACCCCCATCTGTAGAGGAAATGGACAAGAGGATCAACAGGCCTTATTGACAAAATCAGGTTTCTGATTGCAAGACCTGATTGGAGGGAGAAACAGCCGTGCGACGTAAAGCCTCTAGTATAAGCACGTCCAAACTTCGAAACAGCGGAAAGAGTGGGCTTACTACCTCCCACATTCCAACGAGGGTCCCCCGCGCCGGCGCCCCTCACACTCCTCAAGTCGCATGTCCCTTCGTGGCCCAAGTCACGTACAAACCACTGCCCGGAGTTCGGAAGTCGGGAATCCTCAGACGAAGCCGCAGGAGGTCTCCCTCTCTCAGCCAACGACGAAGGAGCGCGAGCTGCGATGACAGTACTGCATCATACTGCCACGGCTGAAAAACATTGAAGCCTTAAGCGGTTACAGAAAGGTTGCGGCAAAATGTGGCAAAGATTCAAGACGTGCACTTCAAACCTTACATTAATGTCATGTTATTTCAATTGTTTCCTGTCCACTTCGGCGGGTGCGCAAGACTGATCAGACTCTTGCGCCTTAGCTCAGGCAAGATGTCTTTATATGGTGGTCCTTATAAACCACCTGTTACCTGTTGGGGATTGTGCCATCTACTCTGAAACCACTGTATGCCTTCGTACCTCCGTCTGCCAGACCCGTCTTCGGCGAGATGCCCAGCGGAGGTTGACATCCCAGCGCCGCAGAGAACCACCACGTTTTGACAGGGGCGCTCAGTCATGTACTGGGCGATACCTAAATAGAGGCAGTGAAGGGCCAAGACCGAGAAAGGGGACGGTGCACGGTGCCATCATGGATTCTAAAGGATTCTAAACACCACATGCTACTCGCCTATATTGTGTGCATATGTATAAACATAATATAGATCAAGTAGAAACCTCTGGTTTAGCAGCTGGATGGTGGTGGTGCCAGCAGCCGTACAGGCTACAAGAGTGGAGCAAAAGTAACGGGAGTGGTGCCTTGGAAACCGGGATTGTCAGGGCCTTAAAGTAGGAAACTGGGAGATCTGGGGACACTGGTGGAAACCTTTCTAAACATCCAAAGGTGAAATCACTTGCCCAACATATCCCGAGCTGTGGCACCCAGCCTTTGACATCAAACGATGTGAGCATTGGCTCTCTCGGTGGCTCCTGCCCACCAAAAAGCAAAGGTAAGACTTCTCGTACCAGCCGTCAACAGCATTGGCAAAAGGAAATGATGGTTCATCGCCTGTTCATATTCAAATGTCCTGCCAAAGGATGTGTTGCCAAGGCCTTGGAACACCTCCAAGCTGAAAGCTCCACCCCTAGAGCCAACTCGCAGAACAAATAGAAGCTGCCAATCATATCATCCCCCAGTCCTCTCGTCTCAGCCCCCCCTGCAATGCATCTAAAGGATGCACACCTTCGTCTCACACGCGTCGCCAAATTTGGAACGACAGGAAACTCTTTACATGAAGATGCTCATCACAAGCGGATCCTTTCGTCCAGTTTTTGGAGATGACCAAAGGACACCATGAATGTATGGAATGTTGCCACCATGGGTGTGCATAAAAAAAGGGAGACTTCCCAGTTCGACCCCCTGGAAGAAGGGAAAAAAGACCAAAGGTCCCCTATTAAGATACACACTCACATGTTCATCTCTGGCTGCTGCGTTTTACTCTGACGGCTTCTGTCGTCCAAGAACAGCGCTTCGTGCTTCATTTGCGGAGGGATCAGGAGGGTACGATGGAACAGGGAGTCACAAGACCCCACTGATGAACCATGGACTCCGTGCCCATGGCCACTCCCTGGTACTGGAATAGATGCCTACATTGACCCCTGAAACCACAACCCGGGATGGACCTACAACCGATCTCCGTCGACATCGAAGCGCACTCACCGGTGACCTGGCGGTCTGAGCTGGCCGACCGGAGCCACACCGAGCCGCTCACCGTCCGAGTCGACAGAGACGGCGGCGCGTCTTGGTCACGCGACGCGCCCACCTTTGGCTGCCAGCACTCGGAGTTGGAGCAGCAGCTGCTCCTCGAGTCGAACGGGCATCCACAGGCGAGTAGTTGTATGCATCCTGTGGAAGAAGCTTCCCTGGTATTTATCCCATCACTGGGAACACGCTCCCAGCACGCGACTCACGCACGCTCACTCGACTCCGACTCAGCCGCGACGACGTGAAAAAGCCTGATCAGTCACTCAACCACGCACAAGTTGAGAGCGATCAAGTCCTTTGATCAACGGTCATTTACACCCTTTTCCAATTCCGTTCTTCCAAGTGGACTGATCACCAGGTGAGCCAACGGGTCGGCGCCCAACAGGCCACTTCTCGCCTGTCGGGGTCGGACTGATCTAACCAACACCGCCAAGAGGCATCGCCCTCGAAGAGGCCGCTCTCTTCCAATTGCTGCAGAATCTCCTCCACACTGCAGGGTGGGTGTGAACCTGTATCCATGTTCAACTGCTACAGTGTAGCTGCTACAGGCATGAGGTTTACGTGTCCTGTCTGAAAGGAACATAAAGTAGAGCAAGCATGGGCAAGCAGGGAAAAATAACACAACAACGCTAGCTCCTTGATAGATCTTGATAGTTTCTTTCTTCTTTCAGCTGCCCCAAGGCCCAAGCATCCCCAAATCTATATTGCGGGATTGGACTTACAGCGACCAGCCACCTGCTCTGAACTCATCTGGACTCCTAGGCCACGACTCCCCCGCCACGACGACCACGATCGATTGAAAATTCAAGAGATCATCAAAACACACATGTTGGCTCAAAGATGGTAACTCTTCGTGAGCCCAAAAGGCCTCGAGATTCGGAAGGTCTACCAAGCGGCCCTCAAATTCCCTCAGGACAGGTCCTCTGCGGATGGAACCTCGTTAGGCGCATCCCCATCAAGTTTCTTGGAGCGGCAGGTTTACATCGTTTCAGGTGACTACCTGGCCTCGTGATTGCATTTGGCAAGTGCAAGAACCTTCTGACATGATAGCCAGTGTAACCATTGTTCTCTGGGGCTGTTTAATTGAATGATAACCACGAGTAACCTTGGTTTTGGTGATTGTTTGGCGGAACCACCAGCTGCCCATGTCCCATGCGGCAAGCCATCTACGTTCACAGCACAAAACATATCCAAAAATAAAACAACAAAAACTACATAGTAAACACACATAAACCATATACCAAGGACTAGGATGCACTAGGACCAACTAATCACACCCAATTGTTTGGCATGACACGAAAGAAAAAATAACACCCAGTTTCATCTCGATGCCCAGCCTCAGGTGCCGGAGCAAAAGGAGCCGGCTCCTTTTCTTCGCATCTCCGTGGAGTCGCGGCGGCACGAGTCGCGGCGCGTGTGCCCCAACGCCAGTCGGGCCGGGTGGTGAGGTTCGGTGTCCAGCAGCTGGCCTTGGATGATGAGGGTGACTCTCAGATTGGTAGGTGGTACTGTAGCTGGTGCATAAAGGGATGTATAACAACTTAGGAGGGGTATGTTGTGTTGATCTTTATGGTTTTTGTATGTTCTCTTTTTGGATTTCTTCCTTGTTTCTGCCTCTTGCTGCATTTGTTGCTTTTCCTGCTTGTCTGTGCTTTCTTTGTGAATCCTCTTGCTGTTCTTGCTTTACCTTGGGTGGCTCACAGAAGATGTACTATGTTTTCCATGGTCCCTTTCCTTCTCTAAATTTTAGCTTGGCAGCGCCCTTGTAATCCTCGCTGATCTAAGCATCCAAGTCTTTTGTCTAAATGGCCGAAGCCTGGCCCTGAGCATCCACCGTTGTGGGATTGCGGTGGTCTGATGTGTGTGTACAACCCGAGGGCATCCGGTGAAGCGCGCCGACGCGACGCAAGAATCAGTTTAAACAACTGTTGAATAGTGACATCACACCATCACAGCCCACAATGGTGGATGCTAAGGGCTACCAGGCTTTTGCCATCTGACATACGACCTAGATGTTAAGATCAGCACTCCGTGCTTCCCAAAGTGCACTCCAAGGTTCACAAAACGCCTTTGCGCCAGCTTCAGCTGCATTTCCAGCCATACCCCAAAACAAGAAACACACACAAAAAAACAACATTTAACTCCGGGACCAATAACTTATAATAGGGGGGTTTAGGGATGTGTAGGGATGCGATTCGGGTGGCGATGTGGAGCGACCGAGACCGACGCTTGAGATCGTGACAACTCGAGACCTGGGGAACGTGAGCACACGAGAGGGGAGGCGATCGAACCACATAGAACGGACTTATATATTTATATAAGTGGAACATCGCAAAAGTGCCTGGCCCCCTCTCAAAAGGTTCATATCGATAAGTGGAAAACAGTACGGACATCCAGGAGGAGACGGGGAAGGTCAGCACTAAACAAAACGGTGTTAATCAAGTAGATGCGTACTGTGAACGGTGATTTGTAGCAAATATTAACAAACAACCGGAGGCAGCATGGTCCTTGCATAGCCCCAATCAATAGCTATATTGTGAGTAGCGTCAGCCACAAACAACCATCGTCCCTGACCTGCAGGATCCTGATCATCCATTCAGCTCACCGGCAAACAAAACGGTACAACTAAACTAACAGTACATTATGGTACTGTACCTTTTTTAATAGACCTATGTTCCTTGGAGGGGCACCCTTTCCAACCACCTTCTGCAATCCCAGATGCAGCTGCACTACAAACGGCCTCAGTGTTGCGATTTGCTTGTTTGGGGCGGGGCGTCAACCGCCTTACTGGTAAAACGGTGAGTGGATGTTTCTTGTGTCTGGAACATGTGCCTAAGAGTTTAGAAGAACAGGTTTTTCACTGCAAGAAAACCATGGTCTAAGAATGTTTGAGAGTACCCTCCTCTACTGTATATGGTCTTCAAGCTTCTCTTGCCCAGAAGCGATCGGCCAAAATCTCCGCCGCAGCAGGCTGGTCGGGGCCCGCAAAGTGGTGCACATGGCCCACCGGACCAATTGTGGTGATGTCTACCATCTACGAGTTTGGCAGCTCTGTCTGGCTCTGTCTCCTGTTTCTGTCGCGTGCTGATGGTTCCAAACGGTGTTGGCCAACCAGCACAAAGAAACCAAAAGAGTTGCCTTCTACCTCAAGGGTTGATCTGAAGACCAAGGCAATACCATCATACCATCCATTAAATGGTAGCTGTGTGTGTTTGGGGTGTGACAAAGGTCCGGCCACACGCGCACACACACACGTACATCCGGTGTCATCTCTCCACACTTCCCAGGTCTGGCGCCGGATTGAAAAAACCCTCGACATGTAGGGAATGTCGGTATGTGTAACACCTGCAGTGAAAAACCACTTGTATTGGTTCCCTTTCTCAACACAATTCCAGTCCCTAGGCCTCGTCGATACATCACATGTTGCATCCTGTTTCTGCCAGGTTCAAGCCAAAGCTGCGGCAGGTCTTCCTACATCAACCGAGCCCCTGCATTCTGAGGTTAAGCGCATTGTGACTTGTGTACAGTAGTGAATCCCAGAGCCACCCCCCCTGGAAATCTATTTGATACCTTGGGTCTATCCTAATACTTGTAACAGTGGACGATGATGGTTAGTAAAGGCCATTAAAGGCCTTATTCAAAAATAGTAATTCTTTGCTGACTGTTACAGGTAATAGGGCAGACCCAACTGATACCAATAAAAAAGCAACGTCTCCAGTTTTGCACATGCAGTGCCAATGGATGTACCAACTTCAAATGAACATGCCCCAAGGACACGAAAGCATGGATGGGAGCTGCCTCTGCAGGTCAAACCTACCGCAAGGACTATATAGTAGAAGCTCCCACAGTACAGAGATATAGAATCATCCTGGTCGGCTGCTTTTTGGATCAACACTCTCTCTCTCTGTCTCTCTGTCTCTCTCTCGGCAGCGTCTGGCTACAATGCAGCCGTCAGGGGTTGATACCAGTCAAGAGTCAACTCTAATCTGCCCCACAAATATCCCTAAAACCCTAAGCCACAAGCCATGTCCTTAAACAAATCCTCCAAAAAACAGAAAACAGTTAGAACACTTCTGCTCCTCCGTCAACTCAACCCGGTTCCTCCAAGCTCTTGGGGTCGGAATGCAGCTCCGACACGGACGACCTCGCCGCCAAAAGCTCCCCTCCAGTTGGAACAGGCGAATATGGCGAATGTGTTGCAGGGCCGGCCGGTGTGTTGCAGGGCCGTTTCTTTTCTTCGTGATAGTGGCAATGATTGTACTCATCATTCAAGTAGTTGTTTAATTTTTCGGGTTTGAGTGTTGTTCTGTAAAATAGGGATGCATTAGGCAAGTGCGCCACAACACTCTACAAAGATCAAGGCTGAAACTGCATATACATTGGCAAACTGCCTACTTTCTTGGTGCAATCTGCCATAGCTGTTGTGTGCTGCCCAATGTAGCTAATCTCAAAGATGATTAAACATCTTCATTCAGCTTCCCTCATGGAGTAACTCATGCTCAACTCGACGCTCCGGCGACCTGACCACGCTCCGGCGACCGCCATGCGCCCGTCGATCCAACGTGTCGGCGACGTCGGTGAGTCACTGGTCCCATGTATTCCAAGCCAGAACGATGGCTGACGGGTGCTTTGTAAGGAGGAAATGTATGATATCCTATGGTATCTATAGTGAGGGGTCATTCCCTCATTCACTAAGATCGACTCAGTCAGATTGTCAGTTGTGGTCTTTGGCCATCCAAGTTGCACATTCACATGCCGGCGCAAAGGTTGGCCAGGAGACGCCTGGAGGGAGCTGAGAATAACTCTGAGGGCCTGAGTGATTGCACAGGTCTGCGCATTCATGGAATAGCTATGAATATCCAAATGGATAGCCGTTTCCGATCCAGAGTCTGGGGGACTTTGTCATCGGCTTCTCCAAAGCAGTTGTAGATTCATTTAGGCACCCCCCCCCAAAAGTTCCCACTTGATGCACACCTGTCACCTTGGAAACATGGCCATGGCCACTCTTCTTGCGCACCCTGATACCACCTTCAGACACCTGACAGCCTGCCTTGGTGGCCGCCACTGCCTGTAACGCCTCCACCCGGTGCGTGGCCGTCGTCTCCGCCGGAGCTGCACAAAGGGGGCAGCTGAGGGTGGACCTGGCGAATCGGCACCTCTCGGGCACCGAGCGTGGGGTCTGGCGTGGTGTCTGGTGTGACGGGGCAGACGGAGACGAAGCAAACGGGGCAACGTGTGAGGGGAGCAAGGGAAAAGCCAGAGAGGTCGGCCGGGAAAGGCAAGGAAGGGTAATTGGGACGAGAACTAAACGTTGATCAACTTGTCAGCTTGACATATTTTCGCGGTGGAGCCATGCCGGGTTGCACTCACAAAAGAAAGGGACAAAAAATCGTTGACGGTCGCACTCGGCTGCGACGACCAGGCAGCAAAGCAACAAACGCAGCAGCACACCAGCAAGCCGGCCAACCAACTGGTCGGAACCGCCGTTGGGGACCCAAACTTCAGCTGAACGTGTGGAGAGGGGCCTCCCTCTAATCGCTCATTCAGCTGAGAGTGAGCGATTAAATGGACCAGTACGGGCCCATGATCCAACATGCTGTGTTGTGAGACACCCCCAAGCATCATCAAACATGACCAATGAACATGTCAAACGTCAAGGCTTGCTCATCTTGAATCACCTTCAGCCTGGCCATTCTCCACACATTATGGTCGGCAGTCTGTAGAAATGCATCAAAAAAGTGCCCACATTCAGGAGCAGGTTGCCAAAAACATCTATGAACCAGCTTAAAAGTAAGTTGGATCAAAAGCCGCCTGAAGCTCCAAGCAGCCAACCTTCTCCATTCGCACACCACCGTCACCTCCTTTCGCTCTCCTCCCTTCACGTGACTCTGCAAGCACCACTCGGGTACCCGACCGGACGCCCGAGAGGACCAAGCAATCCAGCAGGTTGTGCCTCGAGGACGAGCCGAAGCGTCGGACGTTGGACGTGGATGACCTGGATGAAACCGGTGGTTCCGGGTGAAAGCCGCAATCCGGTATGACCCACCTGCAGGTGGTGAACTCACTCTTACCTGAAAACATACTGTAAATCTAGGAGTGTGACAGAAAGAAAGGTGGACTGACGATTTCGCCAGGTGATTGTAAAGCTGGCTTTTTCAAACAGATTGGGTCCCTCCATGTCCAATCGTCAGCAAAGGATAGCTGCGCGGCTGCTTTGCGGTTTCAGCTCGAAAAATCTTGGCCAGTGGGCTCAATCATCCCAAGAACATGAACATAGACTTTCATCTCCCAAAACCTCAATCCTATATATCGAGATTCGCTAGATCGGAACTCCGCAACAAATCGCGGATGGCCGGGCTACCGATGTTCGCACTTCACACCGTCGCTGCCGGTCTTTCCACCGACTTCTCCGGTGGCGTTGGTTGAAGACACGTCCGAAAAGAAGAACAACGGCTTCGCCCATTGACGGTTCGGCCTCCACCGGTGCGAATCCACCATGTGTCTTTAAGCCAAAGCATGCGCACTACGGTCCCGCATTCTGCGTCTTGCATGCTCCTCTTAGTTCGACCAATGCAGGACGTTGCAGGATCTCCAAATGTCCATCCACAGGTGGAGGATCTGTCAGCTCCGAACCCTTTAGGTAATTAGTAGCATCTGAAACATGTCCATGCCCCCCGCCTCCATCGGCCTCCCCCCAGAAGAGAACGCTCATTTTCGAGATCTATATTATAAGTGCCACCTCCGAATGAATGCACCAGTTTCTTGGAATCGTGAGTGGCAGAAAAAATGGGAAAACACCTATAGTTATAGCATAGGAAAATGCCCAAACAGAGCCAAACAACATGGCATTGAACATGATTGCACCTTCTGGAAACCCTCGATTCCTGCTTCCACTGCTCCATCGCCTGGAGGACGAGGTGCCTGTCCGCCACTGTTCCAGACCTGGGGCGGTGCGCGACTGGCCGGCCGGCCGAAGCCACGGAGTCATTTCTCCGCCAGGTCGACCGACCTGGAAGGTCTGTAGTTATATGCTGGGGACTATGCTGGGGTTACCGGGCTTTGAGAGGCCACAAATGGGACTGTAAATGCCAATCCAAGTCACGATTTGCGAGTTGGGGGTTCAAAACAGTGAGTTCCTGGATCTTATTGCTCACGCTCACGCTAGTGTGTTCAAAGTCACTATACGATTTGCCCACTGCACGCGCGCTTTTCTGGCCTGTGCTGCAGCGGTTGACTTTAAGAATTCCAACATGCTCGATCCATGAAGTCCATGTGGCATAATATACAATACTAATACATCAATAGGTTTGGGACACATCGTGTGGACCTACGGATGTTCGTTCCCACAGCTATGAGCCATGATAGCTGTTTCTCACGCAGCTGCTCCCCGTAGTTCGACTCCATCACCATGAAGTTGCGATGCGATTCGGCGCTGGCGACGGTAGAAGAAGGCACCCAAGATGGCCAGGATGACTAGAAGAACACAAACCTGGGATTTGCAAACGGAGATTCTCTTCAGCTGAACCTTCCCCGGTTCCATGCAGGTTCAGTTGAGGGGGGAATATAAAATAGAAATAAAAGAAGAACGACTTCCGACTGACGACCCGTCAGGCCGTAAGATGCCGTACGGATGACCATGAACTCCTCTACGAACAAGCGGGTTTTCCACTGGTGTGTTCATCGGAGGGCCAACAGATCAATGCTGAGTCGAGAGACCACCCACCAAGGGCCGCTTGATGATGAAGGCTTAGGCTCAGGGGGTTGAGTGGGGTCTGGTTCTGGCCCATTGTCGATGGGGATCGGAGCCTTAGGGTAACGAATGTGGGAACTCATATCCACAGGAAGATGCAAGATCTTGGTCATGTACTTCTGCTCAAAGAATTTCATTGGGACAAAGAGAGGCAGTGAGTATTGCACAGTGGCCTCAATGGTCTTGGTCTCATTGGGAAGCTCGTCTACGTTGACCTGGATTTCCATGTAGTTCACAGCTTCTTCCAAGTCTTGCAAATAACTTCGACGCTTGGGGCTGGGTGGTTCCACTTTCCAGAGATACATGTCAAGTCGGAGGTCTCTCTGGGGGAGGCTCTCGCAATAAGCGCTCTGGAGTTTGGGCTCAAAGCGTGCCATTTCATAGACCATCAAAGCATCCGTTTGCCTTGGACGATCGCTCAACTCCCTCAGCCTTTCGTCGCTGACCAGCACACTGGAGCGATACTTGGACGGTCCAAGTTCACTCTTACGGCTTTTCCAATGCACTTGGTGCCGATTCTCACTGGAAGCCACCACCTCCATCTGCCAGTCATACTGGTTCTTCACAGTTTGAGTGCAAGTGTTGGCATCAACACCCTCCCCATGATAAGTCAAGGATCCGACCTCTATGGTTTTCCATGAATAGTATGATTGGTCTTTAACTCTCCAACTCACGTCTGCGGTCACTGAGATCCGGGAGGACCCCCCCGCTATCCTTTGCCATCCACATGGGCAGCGGAAGCAGCACACAAGTGAAATTGAAAAGGCTGTTCTTGGTGAGGTGCGTTGCCCAAACTCCTTCGGTTGTTTCACTGTACGCCGTGTAAGTCACTTTGGCACACACGGGGGCGCTATACACAGCGATTTCCTCAAAGGCAGCGTCCATGTCCATGTCCTTGCAATCAATCATGAACTTCATCACGTTTGGTATGTCCCCCGGCGAAGAAGCGGTGTCGCCAGGAGCTTGGCAGGTCAATTTAAAGCTCTCTGTGGTGATCATGCAGCCTGTCTTCTTCGAACCAAGTTCAAGATCTGCACTCGTGGAGTCATGAGCAAATCTTAAAGCAACCTCTGCAGTTGCAAGGGGTGCTCCAATGCCAAAAAGACACCAGCACGTGATGAAGTGCGACATAAGTCAAGATTTGTCAAGCTAAAGCTAAAAAAACAACCCTGCCTACCCTCTTGCTCTTGATAGAATTGGGGAGCCCAATGGCGAAAGCGGATGGTTCTTGCAGCAGCTGGAAGAAGCAACTCATGAAACACTGAGCACTTGCATGTATGTATGCCTGGTGCCCGCTGGTGCCCAGGTTCTTCTTGCACCACGACCTCTCTACCTCTATGTTTCAGCCCCTACTTCCAGTTCAATCGCCCTTCTGTCCATCAAATGCCCGAACTAGCATTCCCTTGAGACGCAATCCAAGGCCACAGCATTCTGCATGCAAATTCCTTCCAAAGCAACACGTCGACCACGAGACCGGCTTTTCAAACAAGGAGGAGCCCCATGAAGGATCAACACACGGAGGCCCGCTGAGTCAAAGCTACAAGTTGAACATGGGTGTTTGTTGGAATCGGGAGAAGCTCCCCAAAAAAAATGGGAAGAGCAACACCAATAATGGGTTGGGGGCTCTCACCATTCAAATACAAACTAATATGGATAGTGCCTCAGTTTGAAACGGCTACGCAAATCGATGTTGTGCAAAGAACGCCGTTCATTGGACATGGATTCGGTGTAATCACTCTATATTGATCTGCCTCAGGGATCTCTATGCCTTCACTCTTCCAAAACCACAAAATATAAGCATCAAATATATACTGGGGTAGAATTACAGTAATGGTTTACTGGTTTACGGTTTGCCATGGTCTTGTAGATTGGCTAGGTCGGCAAAGCAAGTTTCGTGCTGACTATGTTATGCTCAAGCATACAGGCAGCACACGGTTCGTTTTTTCAAATCAACCAGCACTTTTGACAATCTCTTGGACAGGGTTTTCACTTTGCATCCTTTAGACCTTTCTTCTCAAAATAATGCCGCCCAATAACATGAACATGTTCCACATACAGTAAACTCCCACATATCCAAACAAAACAGTACGTGTCCTTCTCCTGTCCTGTTGCTTTACGATTTCTTTACTTGTCTGTCCTTTTCCTGCCTTTTTGCCGTTCCGTGGGTTTCCCATGCTCCTCTTCTTCACCTTTTAAAGGAGTTGGATTCTTGCAAAATTGCCAAGCCTAGAGAAACAGCATTTTTGGTACATTTGCCGTCCCCGTGTTGGTAATGAACCTACCCAAGTCTCATTGAGGATGTCCTCTCCCTCTTCTTCTTGTACGCGAGTCATCCAGAACTTACCTTGCCCAAAACCCTCAACCTCAAATTCCTGAGTAATGCAATATACATACAGTATATATAATAGTGTATGCACACCATTTCCAAGAAGTTCTTTCAACATGTTTGTACATTTTTCAAGTCCAACTCTCAACAGCAACCCTTTGGGACGTCCATTCCTTTGGAGATCCCAACCTCCCTTTCATTCCCTTTCTTGAGATCCACCAGTAGCATTTAGTCCAAGTGTCCTGTGTTTTCTGGATGTCAGAGTGCAAATGCCCAACTCTTGCGACGTGGTTTGGCCCCAAGTTTTGCTGGACATCACTCCCTTTGATCTGAAACCACCTCCTACTGGGTTCTATCGTTCCGACAGGTTCTGCTTGCGGCGTCTGTCTCCGGCTGCTTCCGCCAGCAAGCTGTGTGTCGCGGTTACAGGCCCGTCCTCCCACAACCAGCGCAGCAGCAGGAGCCCGCCAGGTGCACCACGGGGTCGAAGCACACAGGGCATGGCCTATCCGCGGATCCGCGCGGCCGCGCCGTCGAACGGGTGATCTGGTCCGATGTTGGAGGAGTTTGGGGATTGGAAAACGATGATTGCTTAGTAGAAAAGAAGTCAAGCTGAAGTCAATGCTTATAACACAGACCGATGCCGCTGTGCTCGGAGCAGAGATCATGCTGGGCGAGTCAGATAATGCTTATACAAATCAACATTCATGTCATCATAGATCCCAGAATGAGGTCACACGGTTCATTGCCTTCATCCTTCAGTTTCAGATTCTCAGACCTCCAAGGACCTCCGCCATTCACTGGGCTCGGTGATCGCAAACAGCACCAACATGGTTACCACAGGCCGTCGAAAGGCAAGAAGGGGAGAAAGTTCGTGAGGTTGAAGATGAAGCGGGTGACTGACGACCGTTTTCGGGCTAAATTGGCGTCAATTCTCTTGGTGCTGGGCGTCCAATATATGTGAAAGAGCTTCTGCTCTTGGCCACTGTTGGCCACACCAAACAGTGTGTATCAAGACTCGAGATTCCGTCGATGGGTTTCAGACCAGTCATTGACTCCTGGACATCTGCTCGCGCCACTTTCCCAAGTACGTAGCTCAGAAAAGTTGCACTCCTTTGAAATCTTGCATTTTTTCCTGGACCAAGGGAAACCAGTGTCGCTCCGCGCATTAATCCCGTGGGTGCCGACCTATACCCTCTAAAAGGACCGGTGCCTTCCTCTAGTAGTGCCGCACGAAGGGTGGGTCTGTCTGTCTCCTCTCTGGGGAACCGCAACACACCCGTGTCTGTCTGTCTAAGTGGGCCCAGCTAGGCTGCCCAGACCTCCCGGCAGCTTCTCTGAGCACCGGCGCACGGGAGGCGCTGACGACCTGTGGCGGGGAATGGCGGTCTGATTGCCACTAGTAGCAAGGCACCTTGCTACTGGTAGCTTCTAGCTACTAGTTACTATAGTAAGGCACTTCAGGAGCTCGCTCTGCTGCAACTCAGCCGTGATGGAAAAATATATATAGGAATCTGGATGCCCCCAAAAGCACCACCAGGAATGATGTCCACCCAACATGCGCTACTCACAGGACGATAATGTTGGGATTGATTGACCTCTGAAATTGCAGCTCTCTGCACTCTGCACATTCTAGGGTTTGGGCTTGGGTGTGTTTTAGTCATCCAAGCTCAGTCGCACTTTTGCTTTGAACTGGCCTCCTGCTTGGTGAACCATCCCCCTCGCTGAGGGAAAACAATGGATGTGGAATGAATGCCACTGGCTTGTCTTGCAGGTGTGGTGTCCGACATCAGCAGCAAGCAAGTTTTTGGATACACTTAGAGACAAACACTTAGAATTTAGGCTAAATGGCTATATAATGCAGTTAGAATATGAAAATTGGTACTGCCATTGCAGTACACTTCTCTAATCTTCTTTATATCAATTCTCTATCATTCTCGTGTTGCCGAAGCGGTGGCTCATGGCTTTCGATCAGCTCTCAAGGCCGGTTCCAGTCATACAGCACCCGGACCTGCACGAGACGGCGGGTAGGTGGAGACCAAAAACCGTGGAGACGTGCACGGGTTCGATTGGATGGGGTGGTTTTGCTACGGTCCCTGCAGGTCAACGAAGCGGAAACAAAACAACTGAAAATGATGGCTAGGAGAAGGGTGGACAAGCAAGGGGATGGTTTTTGTGATGCTGTGATCACAACCCAGGATGGTAAGTGGGAAGAGATGAAGCAAGAAACAGTAACTGCATGTTGAACATCTTGCATCAAAGCCCAGTCGCTTGAAGCCTGTGTTGGATATTTTCGTTTGTAAACCAAGCAGGTGGAGTGACATGTTGGCTAATGCATGCGATCATGTGGATCTTGGAGATGCTCAGGTGAGATGCTGAGACAAACTGAGGTCGTATATAGAAAAAAAACATATATATATCTATATATATATATACTGATACTATTAAGGCAACTTGAACAAGAACATGAGGGGCCATCAAAAACACACCATCAGTTCCATGGAGCGGTTTGCGGTTTGGAAGGGCATATTCATGTCTGTCCCATGGCAGGTGCAGACAAGCAACAATGGATCCCGTTCCAGCCTGTGCCGTTCGTGAGGGTGCTTGCGTCGTTCGTGAGGTCTTACAGGACAAGTGGGCGACCGGCTACCAGCGCTGGTAGATCAGCTACTGTAACCTCTCACCTTCTCTCATTCTCACTCTCTCTCCGGAAATGTCGAAGCCATATGAAGCCATACAGTCTAAGCTTGGCAGCCACCACCCGGCCCCATATCACAACTTAATGTGGGCTTGTGGTGATGAGCAAACTACAAAACGATCTCATCCGGTAAGAGTCAATCCAACACGGAAATGAATGTGGACAGGGCTGAAGGGTGTCGAGTGTCCTAGTTCTTGCCTCTATGGTTTTGCTGACACGCCAGTTCCAAATCCTGCTCACAATACTGCCTCTAATTCCCAAAGCAACAACTCCGTACACTCCCTCCGCAGTCGCTGTGCAGAACGCCCGATTCTGCCCGCACCAGTCTTCACCCAAAACTAGACAAGGCCGACACAAGTTTCGCTGCTTGGAAATCACTATCCCCATCTGCCCCCCAAAAGAAACCCTTCTCTTCCTTCAAGTTCCATGACTAATCATTCCATATCATTCCACTCCCCTCGCTAAGCTCTCACACCCGTCTCACCGCGTATGCCAAACAAAACCTTCACCGTGCCATCCGTTGTGACCGTCCCGTTGGGGGCGCCTTCTCAACCAGGGCGGCATGCCAAACAAAGAGCTGCGCGTTGGTGCGAGCAGGGAGGCCCTGACCCCAAAACCTTCGGAGCCGGTTTGGCCGGAGCCGGAGCGCAACAGCGCAATTCGGACGTGATATGACGTGATGCTTCGGCACAGCAATGCTCTCTGCTGTCTGCTATACAAACGGTGCGTAAATATAACTATATATATATAATATATATTGTTGGCCGTCTACTTCTATGAATTTTCTATGGGGCAACATGTTGAGTGGTTAGTTGTGGCATGCATCTCATCTCTCATGGTTTTTTGGGGCGAATGCTTGGTGCTTGAGGACTTGATGTGGGGCAGTGTCTTTGGCTGCCTTGCTGGGTTTGTGCGGGATTTGCTAGATCTCTTGCTGCAGGGTTCCTGGTGAAGGGACAGGCTCAGGCTCCCGGCTTGTAGAGGTATTTCATCAGGACGTTCCTCAGCTGCACCACCGGCCCTGAAAACAGGCAAAAAAAAGTGACTCCGGACAAGTGCAACGTGCTACAGTGTTTGGATTTGATCGCTGGCATCGCTGACTCCGAC